CCCACAGGTGCCCAGGAAGCAGGGACAGAGGCCACCCACAGGTGCCCAGGAAGCAGGGAGAGAGGCCTCCCACAGGTGCCCAGGAAGCAGAGACAGAGGCCTCCCACAGGTGCCCAGGAAGCAGGGACACAGGCCTCCCATAGGTGCTGGGGGCCAAGGCAGAGGCAGCACAAAGACTCACACATGGGCACCTACCTTGCATCTACCATAGGCACCAAAGACTCCTGGCCTTCCCTGGCTGGCCCTTCTGGAGGGGTGGCAGCCCTAGCTGGGGACTCAGTCTGACCCAGCCAGCTGGGAGCCTCTTCACTCATCACGGGGGAGGTCAGCGGCCGCGAGCACAGGGGCCAAGGTGGGGGTGGCCCCAGGACCTCAGTTGGGCCTGCAAGCTGGGGCACCAGGCTGGAAGGCTCTGTGGGAGTCATAGCAGGTCAGCCCTCCCCATCCAGCCTCAGAGGCTGCCCTGAAGACTTCACACCGCATGAGCCCAGTCCCTTCACGCTGACCAAGTGCCTGTCTGGCTGCCTGTGCCTTGCAAGGCATGCGTGGAAGGAGATCAGAGTAGGTGGCAGACAGATACCCAAGGAAAAGGTGAACAGCCAGAGATGAGGGGTCCAGCACCTGTAGTCAGAGGATTCCCCGGAAAAGGAGCCAACTCTGCTTCGGAGTATGGGAGGTTCAGGCCTAGGGACCATCCCAGTGCTGCCTCCCTAACCAAGTCTCTGCCCCCCCAACCTCTGCACCCTTGTGTCCTGGTAACTCTAGCTCTGGCACCAATCTAGGAAAGTGCAGCCTTGCCATCTGTGGTGCTCAATAATGTCCAGACGCAGCATAGCTGTGAGGGTGGAGGCTGCACAGAAGTGCCCTGTAGGACCCCCAGAAGAGGAGCCTGGCTCTGGGCAGCATTGCAGAACCCAAGGCCTCATCAGGAGAGATGGCTGAGAAGCTGCAACCCACGACACCCCCAACTTATACACAGAGAAGCAGATGGGGTGCCCTGGGGAAAAGAGATCTGAACCAACCAGAAGGGGCAACGAAGCAAGGTAGTGGCTGCTGGAGAGTGACCAGGACAAGGCCCCTGTTCTCATGCTTCCAGAAAGGCCCACAGTGCTGGTAGAGGAGAAGGACGGAGGAAGGGGGAGGAGAGATGGAGGGGAAAGAGAGAGAGACCCTGCCCCAGGGAGCAGAGGCAGTAGGAGATGGACCAGCCTGGACCCCATTCCTGAAGCAGAGGGAAAGTTGAGGGGGACAGGACACAGGCAACAAGCCAAGGGCAGACCCTGGCCAGGACACCAGGCACCCCCCATCTCCCTCCTCCTTGCTCTCCCTGCTGAGAGCCCATCACATTCACCCCTTCCTGGAACACACACATCCTTTATAGAAAACCAAGAACTGCCCGGGAACCCCGCAAGATCAGCCCTCAACAGCAGGTTTTTCACTGTTTTAGGGACAAGTTGCCCCAAACACCTGTTTAGAAATAGACCCCACTGTTCTCAGGGTCAGAATCAGGTCCGGGCCATACCTGGCTGTGTTCCACAGGCCACCAACACCACACCGGTCTGTGCTCACACAGGCACATGCTCACCTGGGGTAGAGGGCGGTCCGTTCAGCATCTCAGATGGCCCTGTCAGAGCCCTGCTCTCGGCCACACAGCTTGGGGGGTCGTCCTTCCTGAACAACACAAAGATACTCTAGCTGGTAGAGACCTGACCCTGGGACTGTGGCATGCCCAGGGCTCAGGGAAAAATGCGCCCACAGGGACCCTGAGGCTGCCTGGGGAGGCTGCCCCCACCTCCCACCCCAGGGGTGAAGAGCCCAGTACTTCCCCCAAAGACCCAAGAAACCACCGCCCTTACACCCCAGGCTAGCCCCACCCAACAGCTTCCGCAGATTCACTCTCCCTGCCACCCCCCCCCCCCCCCCCCCATCCACCCACACACAGACACTGGAGCTGCCCCACCCCCCCACCCACACACCCCCCCCATCCCTACAGCCTGTTCAAACATAAGAAGTGGGCAGTCCTCAGCTCAGTCAACCATCTTGCTAAAAAAAACAAGTCCTCTTGACTTCAAAAAGAATGGGAGAATGGCACAGCAGGGCAGTGGGGTACAATGTCTCTCAGGGACTAACCCCTGCCCCAGGAAGGCCCATCCACGCAAGGGAAGAATACGGGGTACCTCCTGCCCCCACACCAGTCCAGTCCCTCAGCCTGCCAACTGGAGCCCACTCACAGGGCCACTCCCTCCCACTCCACCCGCTCCCCCCCCCCAACAGGCACTGTCACCACCAGCCCGGCCCTTGCCAAGTTGCTGGCTGTGGAGACCAGCCTGGGCCTCCAGGGGGTCCCAGCACCCAGCAGGGTGGGTCACGGGAAACACCAACCGAGTCACAGCAGACATTCCAATCCCAGGGTCTGGAACACCTGCCAAAATCTGACGTGACAGGGCCAACTGCAAAACGTTCTTCTGCAGCGAGTGCCACGCCTCCTTGAAGGAGCAAGAACCAGGATTCAAATAGACTCCCTGACAGGTGACACAGATGGACAACCTCCACTGGAAACCCCAGGAAAAGGCAGGGTCCCTGCTCAGAAGTGAGGGTGTGTGCAGGCTGACAGCCAGGGCTAAAGATCCCCTGCTCAGGTCTCCCACTCTTCCCAGGTCAGGCGTGCCCACACTAGGGCCTCCCCACAAATGCTCAGACCCCTGACCTCAATAGGGTGAAGATAGTCCAGTCCCAGGTAGAGTCTAAGTGGGGCTCGGCCATGAGGCTAAGAAGAGTAAAGGGACCCTGACAGTCCCCAAAGCTGGCATCAGCTTTGAGGCAACTGATCCCATGATCGGACTGAGGGGCATGAGGCGGTAAGCGCCCATCCTGCCCAGCAGAGCTGTAACTCAGAGCGAAGGAATCAGCTGTGAAGCTGAGGGAGGCAGCAGGTCACACTCCCTCGGAGCTGGGGACACTTCCTACCGCCGCTACCCTGCTGAGAACGGACCACCACTCACAGTGTGCTGATCCCGGCCAGGCACCAGGGATCCAGCGAGCCTGAGGAACTGCACGGCCATCTCAAGCACGGAGGCCATGTCCTCCCGTCTGCCATCGAACCGGGGCAGCAGGGCCCGCAGGCGCTCACAACTCGCCGAGATCCGCCTCCTGTTCCGGAGGGACAAACACCTGAGCCCGTCCAGCCCCACACAGGGAGACGGACTGCCCAGGGGCGATGCTCCCCAAGGCTCTACAGGTCTCCTCGTGGCCTGACTCCGCACCCCAGCCACAGGTTGTTCAGCACACAGAGGTCACAGGCGGAGTCAAGGATTAGAGGATCCCAAACATGTAACCTCAAGACCCCAGAGCGTCAGGCCAAAGCAGCTACACTGCAGCCACGCGGCTTCTCTCCTTTACCCCGGGGGACGCGCCTCGCAGCCCCCCCAGCACCACTCGGGTTCACCGCCTCAGGGCCCTGCCACTCACCGGCGCTCCCGCTCGCTCAGCACGTTCCGCGGGAGGCTGGGGCTGGGACCCTCCGCCACCAGAGGTGCCGTGGCAGGGCCTGAGCCCTGGGCGACGTCCTCGCGGCGGGACAAGGTGCCCGACAGGGCAGGGCCGCTGCCGAGAGCAAGAGCGCCAGGCTCTGAGCAGCCGAGTCGCCACCAGGCGGCCAGGTGCAGGGACGGGCTGCCAGGAACGACGCCTGAGCCCCAGCCGCCCCACCTCACCAATTAGTGCCCGTGAGCTCTGTCCCAGGTGGACCAGGAGGGATTAAGACCAGAGATTCCCGCTGGGCATTCCCTCTGGTCCCGCTGGGCAGAGACCCTGAGATTCTCACCACACCCGCCCATTCCTCACTTGCTTCTTCCAAGGCCTTGGAGGACCCCACTATGGAGTTCATGCTCCTGGGACGCCATGTGCCTGGGATTACAATGATACCACCCCTCCGGCTCCTCACGTGCGCTCTGGGACGCCCGCACGTGCTTCCCAGCCAGTCAGCCTTGACCCCGCCCCCACGCCTGCGCTCAGCTCCGTCTCCGCCAGACCCGCCCACACGCGTGCCTCTGCCCCGCCCCATAGACCCGCCCCCACGTGTGAGCTCAGACCCATCCCTGCCAGGCCCGCCCCAATGCGTGTGCTCTACCTGCCTGGTTTCCCCTACCCCTCCCAACCCTGGCTCCAGTGGCTGGTGAGCAACAAAGTTCCTCCTGCAAAGAAGTTGCTAGAAGGTGGCGAGGCTGGGCCTCACACTTGGTACTCTGGCCTTAGCAGCGGTGCAGCTGCCTCTGCCTTTCCTGGGTTCTGCTGGGCTCCCTCTCAGGCATGGGCTCTGCCCACCGTCTGTTCTAGTAGTGTCTCCTGAGCGAAGTGGAGACACTGGCCTCACCCTTAAGGAGCTCACCAGTCACGAGTTGGGAAACCGGTCTGAGAATTGTGTAGCAGAGATCTAGGGGACTCAGGCCTCTCCTGCTCTCTATGTGTGCCCCTTCCCCTAATCTGCCCACCACCTATGTGCAGGGCTTCCATTCACCCTGCTGGGACGCCCAAAGTTAAGGGAATCTAGCCCCAGCCCAGGGCACTGGCACCTTAGCGGGGCTGGCAGCCTTGCACCTCCCCCACCCCGGCCCCGGCTACCTCCCGCCCAGTCTCTAGCAGATGGGGTGGGGGGGGTGTGTGTGTTAAACCCAAGCCTAGCAGGTCCCTGAGCTCCCAGGGAAGCTGAAAACTATGAGGCCAGCAGTGGGGGCTGCTGAGAATTTGAGTTTCACTTAGGAGTAGGTTCCTGGGCTCCTGTTGAAGAAGGTTGCTGGAAGAGGCCCTGTGGGGCAGGACACAGTTCCACTGTTCAGAGAGGCAAGGAGAGGGATTCAGTCTGGTGTTCTCCATCTTCAGTGGAGGTGGTGGCAGCCGGCCCTGGGCCTCAGGGGTGTCCTGAATTTGGGGCTAGAAGGCACAAGAGCAGCGTTGGACTGGCCGCAGAGGGGCATGTGGGGTCAAGGGGTCTGTCCACTGCTTCACCGAGGTCCACTGCAGGTCAGTTGTTGAGGAGGACTTCACAGGACATGCCGCAGAGGCATGGGGTGGGAAGTGGGAACCTGGACCCTCTTTCCTCCCTACTCCTGGCCAGGAGGGTAGGACAGGCTGGGGCCAAGTTTGGAGTTTTGGAAGTCGAGCTTGTCAGACTCAGCTGGTGGTAGGAGTAATTACTGCCAATCCGACATTGATGCATGTGGCCAGCTCACAAGTGGCCATCTCTGAGCTCCCCAGGCAGGAGTGGCCTGGTGGAAGGGAGAACTGGGACCAAGAGGCAAGCCCCGGAGATGTAGGACTGCCCATGGGCAGGGACACAGGCTGTACCTCTTCTGAGGACTAGACCCCTGCGAAGTGCACCCCCAAAGCATCTGTGTCTAGCCTGGTGTTTCCTGGAGGCAAACAGGGAAGGAATCTTAGGAGAGATGCTGGGGGTGCCAAGGACTGTCAGGGACACACCACGCACCCTCCAGATTGGGCTTCTATTGATCTCGGCCCCCCAGTGGGAGACTGGAGTGGCACTTGAGAGCTGTGTATAGCCAGCCCAGCAACCTGCCTGTCTCTCTCCTCCACCTTCTCTGGTTCCCCTCTTGCCATAACCCTGGTTTAATGAGGCCTGTGGATGGTACTGCATACCATCAAAGCACCAGGGACAGAACTTGACAGCTATCTTGCCTGGGCCATCTGATCTAGGTAACACATGTGCACCAGAAGCGTGTATGTGTACAGGACAGGGCCTGCAGTGTGATCTCTGCTTCTGGCTCACCTTCCCTTGGGGTCAGTAGGCCGCAGCACTTGAAGCTAGGGCACCCTCACTACCTGTATAAAGGTGTTGGGTTGGCCCAGTGGGTGCAAGCCCAGGGTTGGGCACCCCCAGGCCTTGCACAGAGCTCCTGAACACACAGTGCTCAGACAGACACTCTGGCATGGGCGCCTATCCAGGAGGTCTCGATGTTGATTTGTGCATGAGTGGTCATGTGCTGGGCAGAGGTGAGGGCTGGCAGCTGGCCAGGAGAAGTCAGGGTGGAGGTGCTGATCCACCAGAGCCCCGTGTCCCCTCCCACCACAGAGACATCCCAGGGGGTGCACATATAGGCAGCACGCTTGGGGTTTCCTTTCTGAAGGGCCTCAAGGACTCGGAGCACTGTGATGGAGTTGGGGCCTGGATGGTGACAGCCCTGGGTTGGTCTGTCAGTGCCAGAGCTGCTTGCAGGTCCCCGTGTAGCCAGCAGGGGGCGGGTTCAGACAGGCGCCTGAACTTGACCTTGGAACCACTTTCTTCCTTATCTGTGAGAGAAAAAAATGTTATGTGTTTCGGGCCAAGCGGAGGAAGAAGGTAGCGGTGTGAGCTCTCGGCTCACTTCTCCTTGGCTCCAGTCCGAGCCACTTCCGGATGCCGCTGTCCCAGGGGCATGCAGTCCAGGGGTGTCTGCCTGGGGGTGCACAGCAGGGGCTGCACCAGCGGGACCTATGAGTTCCACGATGGCCCATGGGCCCCCAGGTAAGGCATGCTGTGCTCTTCCCCACACGGGGAGATCCTGCTTCTGGCTCGCACCACCTGCCAGACCTAGCACCCTCTAGGAGCCCCCATGCCCATGCCCGCCCAATCCCCCAGGCCCTGAGAGTACCCTCCTGACAGACTGCTTGGGGCTCAGGGTGGCGCTGTGCTTGTTTCTGAGCCCTGGGGGAGGAAGTGGAAGGAGAAGCCAGCCTCAGGGTGGGACTCTGAGCACCTATTGGGCAAGGGAGGTGTCCAGGGAGCTGGGGAGGCTGGGTGCCTCCCAACCCTACCTGGGAGAGGGTCCTCCTGTGTAGGGGTGGACCCAGGTGGGGTGTTGGGCCAGGGCTGCCCACACAGTAGAGGGTTTTCAGGGCAACCCTTCCCTGAAAGACCCCTGACTGGGAAGTGGGATATAAGTGAGCTGGGGGGGCAGGAGTCCTGGGTTTGAGTCATGTCAACCATTTGCCCCTGGGAGGGGACCAACCAGAAGGGCTTCCGGTGGCTGGAGCTAGCAGTTCTTTGAACAGTGCCAGTGGGTGAGCACACCTGAGGGGCCAGAGGAGGGGGAGGGTAAGCACACCTGAGGGGCCAGAGGCCCAGGTTCAGGGCCAGGTGCTGCTGCTACCCATTTCATCTGTGGGACTCATTTTCCCCATATGTAAAAGAAGGCAAGTCATTTAGGGTCAGAGTCTTTAAGGGCTGTTTTTCGTGAGGGACCAGACTCGAGGCAGGTTCTGATGCCAGCATCAGGGTCAGGTCTGGTGCCCACAGGGATCCTGGGGGTGGAGCACACCTGGTGGTGAGGAGCTGGTGTTCTGAGATGCAGGCAGTCACCTGGCTGTGATTTTGGAAGTGGGGCTGTTCTGAGGGGTCACTGGTGATATTTGTGAAGCACAGACTGAGTGACCCCAAGAGAGCCCGTGGATTTCCACCATCGTCCCCTCCCCATTTTCCTCTGCAGTCTGGGAGTTACCCTGCCACCAGTCATTCCTCGCTGAATTCCTCATGGGCTTGACCACTTGCTCCAGGCAAGGCAGAGGTGCTATGGCCTTGGGGTCTGGGTGTCAGCCCCAGGCCTGTTGGACTCAGTCCCCCTGGATATCTGTGTCTTCCACCTGGCACTGTTTGCCCATCCCAGAAAACCCCTTCTTTCTGCTGGTCTGAGCTGGCTGTAGCCCTGCAGAGATTCCTTGTCATACTGCAGGTGAAGTAGCTGCTAGGGCCTGGGATAACAATAGGCTGGGTGAAGATCCCCCTCCAGGGAGGCCACCCCCAGGGACAGTGAGGGTACATAAGGAACCCCCAGGGAATATCAAGCTAGAGGAGGCAGGAGGATCTGGCCTTGGGGAGATGGGGCCAAGGCTGGAGGCCCAGGGAGGCGTGGCCTAGGCAGCTGGGCTTCAACAGAAGAGTCTCTCAGGCAGAGCTGCCAGGTGGGGGGAATTTCTCCAGGGCAGATTCTTGCACTAGGCCTCATGGGGGAAGAGGGGCCATTAGGCCACAACATGGTCAGAACATAGACTCTGGTGTTTGCCTGGTGCCTGGCTCAGTTCCCTCCGGGTCTCAAGCAGCTGTCTGTCTTACAGGTGCTAAGGATGTGGGCATAGTGCTGGCTAGGGTCATGGGGAGGAGGTGCTGGGACTCTCACCCCCAATGTCTGCCTCCATCCATACTCTCAGCCCTTCCTGGTGGTGCTCTAGGGTCATCAGATATAGAGCTCTTGGCTCTCCAGTCCACAGGGTCTTCATCCAGCCCCCCCCCAAAAAACTCCTCCCCTCTCAGGCCAGCTCCTTAGAGTCGTGGATACTTCTCCTCCACCCCCCTGCCTGCCCCTGCCCTGGCCTGATTGCGTCTGCCTAGGAGGTGGCAGCTGTTGTAGGGAAGGGACACTAGTGGCTCCGGTAGCCCCAGAACCTGCAAGTGCCCACTTCCTGTCTGGCACTCTTCCTATCAGAGTCCCTGGCCTGGACCCCCCTGGGACGACCTGTTCCCAACAATTTGCTTCCCAGTGGGCCTGGGACCCTGGCGCCTAAGGGTGGAGGGCAGGAGACTGGGTCCTGGCATGCTGCCGGGAGGTTCCTGGCCTGAGGTTCTGGCCACCCTGCAGGCTGGTGTTAGGGAGCAGGGCCTGCAGGGAGTAGGAAGTGGCCCAGACCCCATGGGACAGGTCTGAAGGCCACAGTTCAGCTCAGTCCTGGCTGGGAGGAGGGACAGCCCAGGCTAGAGAGAACCTAAGGGTCTGCCTTTGACCTGGGGTATGACCAGCCAGCAGCTCAGGGCAGAGGTCCGAGGGGCTCTGGGCATGGGCGGGAGCATAGCCGCATCCCCACACAGGCAGCCTCCGAGTGTGTTGGTCTCATTTGCCCACTGTGAGGCCACCTCAGCCTGTCCGAGGGCTGGGCCTGGATTAACCTGTGAAATTGCTTTGTCCTGCCTGGCATGACAGAGGCCGTGCATCATCTTCGCAGCTTCCCTTCCTGGAGGGTCTCTGACAGGGTCCAAAATTTCCCCTGCAGCTGCCTGTTCTCCTCCCAAAGATGCTGAGACCTACAGAGCTTCCTGAGGGCTGCTGGCCTTTGGGGATGTGGTGCTCTGTGTGCCCCACTGCCACCCAGGCTTCTTCTGAAATGGGAGTGTACACCCACGTGTGTCCCAGACCCTGTGGATGAGGGGTGGTAATCGGGGGGTGTGTGCCCAGGCCCCAAACAGGAGTGCTGTGTGTGCTCACATGCGTGAGAGCTGGAGGAAGGTGAGGGGCCTCCCAGTTAGCATGGCCATGAAGTTACTCACCATGAGCTTGGGAGAAGGAAAGCCAGGCTGAGTGTGTGGCTGGGTGCCAGGCAGGTTTAGTGGGTGCACCTTGGGGGTGTGGGGGGAACTGGGTGAGGCCACTGGAAACCCTGCCTCCCAAGGAGCCTGGGTGCAAGCCAGCACGGTGGGAGCTGGCGAGTGTGACAGGTTTGTGAAGGGAGGTGGGCGGGGTGGGATTGGGAGAAAGTCCCTGAGAAGCACTTTCTCGAGGGGCCTCCAGCTGCTCCTTAGAACAGGTTGGAGAGTGTTAGAGGAGGTGGCCTCATCGGGCAGGAGGACATTGCTGGTCTGTGGCAGCTGCAGGACCTTCAGTTTCCCCTACCTAGATCAGGTGGAAGTCAAGGTTGTGCCAAGACTTGAGGCACCAACAACGCCGTGTAGACAGAGTAAACCTCTGCACATCTCAGGTGGCGTTCTTGGGAGTGGATCTGCGCAGACACTAGGGGCTGAGCGCCAGTTACTTCCCTGAAACAGACTGGTGTGTTCTTAAGGCTTTTGCCATATTGCCCAGCATACCCCACCAGTGGTCCAGGAGGTCACTGCTCTGGACCAGGACCTCAGGACCCACCCCAAGCCCAGATAGGGGCCTTTTTATTACCATGAGACAGGTGTGTCCCAGTGTTACTGCCCTTGTGCTGACAGTGATGTGGCTGGTGCTGGCCCTGGAGCCTTGCGCTATCTTGGAAAAGTTGCCACCTGGCTTATGGAGGGGGCACCTGAGAGACTCTGGGAGCCAGCCCCAGGCAGGGGCCAGGGCTGAGCCTCCCCTGAGCCTTGAGGAAGAAGGCCCTCCCCTTGCATCAGGGCACAGATGCACTGCTATGATGGGCGCCTTATCCCTGCTCACTTTAGGATGTGCAGTAAGGCCAGATAGTGTGGGTCGCTTTACCCAGTGAGGAACACCATGCTATCCTGACTCCCATGTGGGCCCCCACACAAGTTCAGGATACCCACAGAGGAGGGTGTGCCAGCCTCCCAGCTCCTTGCCTGGGAAAGGCTAGCAGCCTGGCATTGACCCCTTCTAGGGCTGTGGGGAGCTGTGGCCTGGACCCCTCCAACCCCTGGAGGCCAGGATCTGGGGGACACAGTGCCCATCTGGAGCAGAGACAGTGACCTGCATGTTGTCCAGGAAGCAGCTCAGCTCCTGCCCTTCAGCATGGTCACCTGGCTCTTGCCCTTAGGACGGGGCCCACAAGAACCTTCAGAGATCTGGGTGGAGACCCTGGGTGCTGCCAGATGTAGGCCCCTTCACAGGCATGGAGTTGGTCAAGTGTGGAGTCCTAATCCCTAACATGGGAGCCTCCAGAGTGTTCCACAGGTGGCTGGGGCTGGGCAGGCAGAGGCCACAGGCAGGGGCCTGCCAGGGGCATGGTCAGGAGGTTGCTGGTGTCTTGGGGAGGGTCCCCTGAGAGGGGTATGGAGAGTCCTCTGGGAGGCTGCTGTCCAAGAGACTCTATGGCTATCCTGGTGGGACAGGGTCCTCCCTCTCTGGGCCCTGGTTTCCCCCGCTGGGATGCATGTGACTGGGGCTGTGCCAGCTTTCATAGCTGGGATTTTGTAGGGCATGGAGGATCAGTGAGTGTTGTCCACAGAGCCGGGTTCAGGGGTGCCACCTCTCCTGCAGGGAATGAGGTGGAGGCCAGGGCTCCTGGGGTGGGAGAGGCCTGCACAGGGTTGATAAGGGGGAAGCACCCTGACAGGTAGCACTGGTCCCCTCGAAGGAGCTGACCAGAGCCAGAGTGAGGTCCAGGCTGGGAGCTGGGGGAGTCTCAGCACCTAAAGTCCCCAGGATAGGCTGCAGAGAGGCAGGGCTGCAGGCTGGACCCTGGGGAGGGTCGGCTGTCACCCTTTCAGGCTAGCCTGCTGCTTTGATCACAAGCTTCAACCCAGCATAGCCAGGCCTTGTTGAGGACCACATTCAGGCCCTGCCTGTCCCTACCTGTGCCTGAGTTTCTGATAAGGCCTAGAGCACCTTTGCAGGGTATGCCAGCCCTGGGACCCCCTGCATCAGCCCCGGGGGACCACCTAGCATGGTGGGCTTTGGGGCCTGGTGCAGCTCTCCAGGGAACTGGGCAGACGTGTGGTGGTGCTTCCCATGGCTATAGCAATGGGGCCGATGCGGTGGCCGCTGCCTCCAGTCATGGCCCCTGAAGTCCCCCATACTCACTGGCTTTCAACTGTACTGCTAG